CCCCACCCACCCCAACAAGCCTTTCATCTCTCGGAGCTGCAGCAAAAACTGTTTGTGCAACTAAACAAACTTTCAGGTCTTCAAAAAACACAGCCAGCCTGAGCCAGCAGGGACAGAGGCGTGAGGGCAGCTGCAGCAGCCCTGCTGAATGCAGTGCGATAAACCCCTGGGGGAACGGATTACCAGTTTACAGCCTGGGGACTTGAGAGGTGAACTGGCACGTGAGGCAGTGTGGCCTGGGGGACAGAGCACTAGACTGGGACTCAGACCTGCGTTCTAGTCACAGCTCTGCCACTGGCCTGGGGGTAGCTTTGGACAAGTCACCCCAGTGCCTCAGTTTCCCCACCTATAACTGGGGCTAATGATCGTGACCCTGAGAGTGGAAAAGTGCTACGTCAGAGTTACTTATGGCACTGGGGAGGTACAGGCCCCCAGGGGCTGGTATGGGGGGGAGGGGGGAAAGCAGGGCCAATGTCAGGTGAGGGGTTCAGAGAACTCAGATCGTTCTCTTGAGCACTAATAAGCATGGGTGGGAGGGGGATGAAAGTTGAAACAAGCCTCAACTGCAGAGCGCAGCTCTGGGCTGCCCCAAAGCACGAGCACCAGGGCCAAGAGGGCTGGGGCATCCTTCATGCGCCCCTGCAGCTGGGCTGGGCTCGTGGGCCCCAGTGGCAGCAGGGGAGGAGAGGGTGGGGTGGTGCCTGTCATGCTGCATAGGGCCTCCCTGTCCCTCGTTGTCCCCTGAGGCAGGGGGCGAGCCTGCCAGCTCTCTTGGGAAGGGGCCCTCCCTGCACCGGGGAGGGGAAGAATTCTGGTGTCAGCTGCTGGGTTCCATGAGCCCCAGCTAGCAGGCAGTGGAGATGGAGCAGGCCTAGCTACTGCCCCCACCAGCCTGTACCGTTCTCGCTTGCACCCCCCTTCCCTGGAGGAAATTTCTACTAGAACTCTGGCCTTGGTGGGGGGAGCCCCCCCCCCCCCCACGCTGGGAACTTTGCCCATGTTACAGCTCACTGACCCCCCCCGCTACCGCTGCTGCCTGCAGGCCCCTGCTCACTGCAGGCCCATGGGGGTGGGGGAAGAAGTCCCTGTGACTATGGGAAGGGGAGCTGTCCTAGCCGCTGCGGCCTTTAAACTGCATCCCACGCTGGCCAGGGGCCCTGTGCTCAGACTTATCAGTGCCTAGGGCGGGCTCCACCTTGCTACAGAGCTGTAGGGTTGCCAGCTGCCTAATCCCACAAATCCAAACACCCTTGCTCTGCCTCCCCCGGCCTTGCCCCACTCACTCCATCCCCTCCCCCTCTGTCGCTCGCTCTCCACTACCCTCACTCACTTTCCCGGGGCTCTTGGCTAAGCTTAGGGCAGGGGGGTGGGGTAAAGGAGAGGATGTGGGGTACAAGCTCTGGGAGGGAGTTTAGGTGCAGGAAGAGTCTGGGGGTGCAGGCTCAGGGAGGGGGTTTGGATGCAGGAGGGGGCTTCAGGCTGGGGTTTGGGTGCAGGAGGGGATGAGGCGTGCAGGCTCTGGCCAGGCGGCACTTACCTTGGGTGGCTCCCGGTCTGCCCTGGCCCTGCACTGCTTACAGAAGCAGCCAGCACGTTCCTGGCCAATAGGAACTGCGAGGGTGGTGCTTGCAGGCAGGGACAGCATGTGGAGACCCCCTGCCCCTCCTCCCAGGGGCTGCAGGGGCATGCTGGCCGCTTCCCAGCGTGGTGTGAAAGCAGGCAGGGAGCCTGCCTTAGCCCCACCAGATTTTAAGTGTTTAAAATCTCCTGGCTTGGCTTCAGTAGCCTCCGGAAGCTAGAGCCTGATGCCGGGAGACTCCTAGCAAAAGCAAGAGGGATACAAACCCTATGGAGCTTGGGAGGAGGGCCCACCTCAGCCCACTGTGGCATCACAAAGAGACCCCTTTGCTGTAGGGCAGTGAGATCCCTGGCTTAGCCCCCTGGCGTTAGGGGATTGTGATCTCCCCACACTGCCCCTAGGTTCATCCCTCCCCCTTGTCTGCAGACACTGAGTTGTCTTAATTGCAGACCCCAGCTGGCTGCTGGTCTATGTCTGAAGCCCCTCCACTCTAGGGTTGCCAGGTGGCTGGTTTTCAGCCGGAACGCCTGGTTGCAAAGGGATCCCGGCGGGTCTGGACGGCACTGCCGACCAGGCCATTAAAAGTCCGGCTGGTGGTGTAGCGAGGGCCTGGCGTTAAGACTGGCTTCCTGGAAGCAGCCGCCAGGTCCCTGTAGCTGCTAGACGCATGGGCCGCCAGGGAGGCTCCATGCATTGGCCCAGCCCTGAGGGCTGGCTCCACAGCTCCCATTGGCCAGGAACTTAGCACAATGGGAGCTGCAGGGGTGGCAGCTGAGGGCAGCACACAGCGCATCCCTGGCTGCCCATGTGCTTAGAGGCTGCAGGGACCTGGGGGCTGCTTCCCAGGAGCTGTGGTAAATGCCTCAGCAACCCTGCATCTGAACCCTCCTGGCCCAGCCTGGAGTCCCCTCCCATACAAACCCCTCACCCCCTCCCATACCCCAACCCCCTGCTTCAGCCTAGAGCCCCCTTCTGCACCCCACACCCTTCATCTGTGGCCCCACCTCACAGCCTGCATCCAGAGCCTATACCCCTCTTCCCACCAACCCCAGGCCAGAGCCCCCTCCCTCACTCCAAACCCCTCATCCCTGGCCCCACCTCACAGCCTGCATCCAGAGCCTATACCCCTCTTCCCACCAGCCCCAGGCCAGAGCCCTCTCCCTCACTCCAAACCACTCATCCCTGGCCCCACCCCACAGCCTGCATCCAGAGCCTATACCCCTCTCCCTCACTCCAAACCCCTCATCCCTGGCCCCACCCCACAGCCTGCATCCAGAGCCTATACCCCTCTTCCCACCAACCCCAGGCCAGAGCCCTCTCCCTCACTCCAAACCCCTCATCCCTGGCCCCACCCCACAGCCTGCACTGCCACCTGGAGCCCTTGCACCCCAACCCCCTGCCTCAGCCTAGTAAGAGCAAGTGAGGGCAGGGCCTTGGAGAAGGTGGGGTAGGGACATTTGGATTTGTGTGATTAGAAAGTTGGCACCCCTACCCCACCCATGGGTGCTGGCTGAGGCCCCTCCCTTACCTGGGAAGGGAAGGTGGCTGATGTGATTGCAGAGCCATTGGCCATTGCCAGGAGCTTTCAAAGATAATCAAGGGGGGTCCTGGATGATCAGAAAAAGGCTAATGTAGTGCCCATCTTCAAAACAAGGGAAGAAGGAGAATCTGGGGACCTACAGACCCATCAGCTTCACTTCAGTCCCTGGAAAAGCCGTAGTGCAAGTTCTCAAGGAATCCATGTTGAAACACTTGGAGGACAGGAAGGTGATCAGGAACCATCAACATGGATTCACCAAGGGCACGTCATGCCTGACCAACCTGATTGCCTTCTATGATGAGATAACTGGCTCCGTGGCTATCGGGAAAGCAGTGGAGAGGATAGATCTTAACTTAAGCAAAGCTTGAGAGACATCTCCCATAGTATTCTTGCCAGCAAGTTAAAAATGTATGAGTTAGATGAATGGACTATAAGGTGGATAGAAAGCTGGCTAGATCATTGGGCAGTGATCAACAGCTCAATGGCTAGTTGGCAGCTGGTATCAAGTAGAGTGCCCCAGGGGTCAGTCCTGGGACTGGTTTTGTTCAACAGCTTCATTAATGATCTAGATGAGGGGGATGATTTCACCCTCAGCAAGTTCACAGATGACACTAAGTTGAGGGGGTTGGGGGCAGGGGGAGGTAGATACTCTGGACCCTATCCTGGCCCTCCAGTGTGACCTAGACAAATTGGGCCAAAAGAAATCTGATGAGGTTCAACAAGACAAGCGCAGAGTCCTGCACTTAGGACAGAAGAATCCCATGCATTGGGACAGGGTGGGGACTGACTGGCTAAGCAGCAGTGCTGCAGAAAAGGACCTGGGGATTACAGTGGACGAGAAGCTGGATATGAGTCAGCAGTGTGCCCTTGTTGCCAAGAAGGCTAACGGCATATTAGGCTGCATTAGTAGGAGCATTGCCAGCAGATGGAGGGAAGTGATTGTTCCCCTCTATTCGGCACTGGTGAGGCCACAGCTGGAGTATTACATCTAGTTGTAGGGCCCCCACTACAGAAAGGATGTGAGAAATTGGAGAGCAATGAAAATGATCAGGGGGCTGGAACACATGACTTATGAGGAGAGGCTGAGGGAACTGGGATTGTTTAGTCTCCAGAAGAGAAGAGTGAGAGGGGATTTGATAGCAGCCTTCAACTACCTGAAGGGGGGTTCCAAAGAGGATGGAGCTCGGCTGTTTGGTCATCTGCCACCACTGAGAACAAGGAGTAATGGTCTCAAGTTGCAGTGGGGGAGGTCCAGGTTGGATATCAGGAAACATTTCACTAGGAGGCTGGTGAAGCACTGGAATGGGTTACCTAGGGAGGTGGTAGAATCTCCTTCCTTAGAGGTTTTTAAGGTCAGACTTGACAAAGCCCTGGCTAGGATGACTGAGTTAGGGTTAGTCCTTCTTTGAGCAGGGGGTTGGACTAGATGACCTGAGGTCCCTTCCAACCCTGATCTTCTGATTGTATAATCCCAGCCCAGCCCTCTTGGCACTCAGCAGAACGAGCCAGGTATATCCACACTGCAGCCCAGGGAGACACGTGCTAGTGCCTCTCACGCTAGTCTGGCCATGGCAGAAGGGGTGCCTAGCCCCCTGAATACAAGCCTGGCTGAGCTCCTGGGTCTGAGCTCAGGTGGCTAGGTCCAGCCCCAGCATCCACTCTGCTATTCGAGCAGGAGCTGAACTAGCCCCTGCCCCCTTGCCAGATTGGGAGGACTGGTCCCAGCTGCAGTGTAGACAGGCCCTGCCCTGCCCTCCTTTCCAGCTTCCACCCAGCTAAACTGGAGCTTCAGCCACAGGGGCCCTGCAGCCCTGCCCCCCCCCTGCCTGCTCCTGTGTGGCCTAGATCGAGGGAGAAGAAAGGAGACCAAACCAGTGTGCGTTTCAAGTGAATACATGAGGCCGTTTTATTGAGCAGCATGAGAGATGTAGACTAGTAGGAATATTTGCAGTTCTAGAGAGTATTTAATACCAGCTGTACTGTATAGGAGTAACTGTGCATCTATACAGAGGGGGTGGGTCTGTTTGCACATCCGGGCCAGCAGCTACATGGTCAGCTCCTGTAGGAGAGAGCCGAGAGTTAGATGGGGACTGCAGGGTACAAGGAGGGGAGCACAAGGGGTTTTCTCTGGCATCTCTACAGGAAGGCCCTTGCTTAGTGCTTTTATGCTTTAAGTCACCTGTTTTCAGCATCATTACACAGGACAAGGCCTGGGGGACACCTGGCTGGAAGGTGAAAGGGCCCCTGGTGGGAGGTGGAAGGCCCCTATCCATCAGATCTTGGCCTGGCCTTAGAAGTACCTCCCCCTACAAGCCTTCTGCTCATGAGCAGAGCTTCTCTCGGCAGGGGAGGTTTAGTAGTTCAAGCAGAGCACAGAGGTAGGAGGTCCCAAGTTCTAATCCTGGCTTGGCCAGCTACTGCCTTCTTGGGAGACTTGCCTCTCTGCCTCAGTTTCCCCCTCTGAAGTTGGGGCATTGCTTCCTCAGATGGAAGCTAGTCTGTGACTGCATCTGCACCAGCAGGGCGGGATCGTATGGCAGGCGGCCAGGCACAGTGCTCTTACCATGATGGCGTTGACTATATCGTTGTTGTTGTGTCTGAGCGCCCGCACGGCTTTGGGACGCGACACGTTGGCCTGGGCCATCACCAGCTCGATATCTCTCACCTCCAGGCCAGTCTCATCAACCTGGGGAGGGGAGGAGGAAATCATCATGCTCCAGACAGGGAGGGGGCACAGTGCCACCCCCAGACCCTGCTCACACCCCAGCACCAAATGCATTTGGAAGGGGAGGGAGAAGAGGAATTTGCTCCAAAGGCAGGAGCGTTACCACTTCATCCTGCTGGTCACTTGGACAGACCTGCCCTGGACAAGGGTTGGCCACTGCCCAGGTCTGTCCTCTCAAGCCAGACCGAGCTAGCCAAGCCCACTCCTTGGCCACCTTTCTGCCTCCAGGTCTGGCCTTAGGCACAGCGACGCAGCCGTAGGAGAGCGATCTTACCTCTAGAGAGTAGAGTCCTGTCTTCATACCCTGGGGTGCACTATAGCACTCACTGCTGCTCCCTAGCGGCTAATGCGGCATCCTGCCTTCTTCCCACTGATCCCTGACAATGCACCAGTCTGCACTGACCAGTTAGGGCTATCTCCTGCCCAGGTAGAGACTAGGCTACTTTCTCCCCCCCCCCCCCCGCTGCTCTAAAGGACAGGAAGGAAGCTAGCTACCTAGGAAACTGGGATAGCTTCCAGCACCCAGGCAGGGCAAGGACAGACAGTAGCGTGCCGACAGCGTCCAGCCAGCCGAATGAGCCTCCAGTGGTTTACAATGAAGACGGGCACAAGAGTTCTCTCCCTTGTGGTTGGTTCACGTCTCCTCCTAACCTCAGGAACATGTAGGCTGGGCCCAGCAGCTTGTCGCTGGGCACTAGGGATGGGGCGGCGTCCAGGACCAGACAATGGACTGACAGCAGGCGGTGTTGCAGCAGTCACCTGCCCAAGGGAAGGCCCAGGAGCTCTGCTGTACTGGCTACACCCGAGGACCCTAGAGGGGGACGAGATGTCACCAGCTAAATCTCTTCTGCCCTCCACCCCCAGCCTGACTCTCAGTGCTGAAGCTGGCACCCAGGGAGTGTTGTGGAACCAGACTGCTACTGCCCCCAGCTTCCTCCCTCCAGCCCTTACCTCCTCCTCTTCCTCGCTCTCCTCTTTGATCGTGAGGGCCGGGGCCGTTTCCGTGATCAAAGGCGAGTGCTCCATCGGCACCTTGAACTTCTCCGCGGCTGCCTTGTGCACCTGCTGCGACAGGTCTTCGATCTGCAGGGACAGACCTGAGTCAGGAGGGGAGGCCGGCGGAGACTCCAGAGAGCAGGCTAGCGATTTGCCAGCCGTACGAAGGACTGGGTGGAGTGAGAGCAGGGGGGACCTGTCTGAAGTAGAGGAGAGCTCCTTGCCTGCCTCCAGCTCCGAGGACATGGATGAGGGTAGGTCACGGGGAGCACCAGCTGTGCACCAGCGCCCCCAGGAGCCCCATGGTGCAGACCAGGCAAGGAGAGAAGAGTTGTTTGGGGCAGGGGGTCGCAGCAGGAAGACACTCCTGTGCCCAGACTCATCTCCTAGAGGAGGGGGAGTCCACGGGTGGTCTAAGCCTAGACTGAGCAATGCACTGTACTAGCGAGGACCCTGTCGCGCAGGAGCTGGGTGGCAGGTGCTGATCTAGTTTTCCTTCTCTACAGCTCTCGGAGAACAGCCCCATTGGGGCTGGGAGCGAGTGATTGATGGCCAGGCTAGTGCCAAGCCCCGAGTGGTGGCTAGTCAGGGCTCCTGTTTACACCAGGTGCTAGACTCTGGCCAGCAAGAGCCAGTCAGATTCCAGGCCTCCCAGCAGGACCCGAGCGGCGGCTTGTGGGGGTCCCTCACCAGCTCGAAGTCAGGCTTTGCCCGCCTGGGTAAGCGGCTAGCGCTGGGCCACGGTGCAGTGGCAAGTGAAATACAGCAGGGCACCTGCCGAGCACTGGAGCCCCAGGACACATACAGCAGAGGGGTCGGGGTGCCCCCAGCCCTGCAGAGCCTCACCTTGGCCTCGCCAAACACTATGTAGATGTCGGAAGCCGGGCTCTTGAACACGTCCGGCTTGGTTATCACAAACAGGATGTTCTTGGACTTCCGGATCGTGATCCTGGTGACGCCGTGAATCTGACGCAGCCCCAGCTTGGACATGGCCTGCAGGGGAGACGGACGGACACGTTACAGTGGCCTCAGGCAGCACCAGCCACCACAGCTGGAGCGACGGAACGGGGACCCTGGAACAAAGTCTCACGGACAAAGGCACGGGAACGGCCTTCAGTCTTTGTGCGGTGACCTGTCCGAGGCCTTTGGCTGGCGCAATGGAAGTGCTGATGCCAGGACAGTCACCACGGCTGGCTGGCCATTGGTTTCGTCTCTGATCAGCAGGGTCTCCAGGGATGCTGGATGGCCTCCATCTCAGAGTGCGGGTCGGGTTGTCTGGGGCAGCACAGGCCGGGGAAATCCATGGGTAGCGCTTGCTGGCCCATTCCTGGGTCTGCTCCTTGGAGATGCCAGACTCATCTCGCACAGACCAGGAGAGGGGGGATGTTGTGCTGAAATGGGCCATTGATGGGTGGCAGGAGACACCCACAGCTAACAGTCACAGGCCCAGTCTCCCATCTCCCACGTGAGCTCTGCCCTGCCAGAGAACCCCCCGCCTCTGACCTGCATTGTGCCTGGTGCCACTTCCTTGCCCCACAGGGATTTTACAAGCCAGGCTGGGGAGAAGTAGGCATGTGACCCTGCCCTGGCAGGGAGAGGGGCAGGTAGCCCAGTGAGCGTTCCCCATCCTGAGTTGCTGTGACATGACATTGGGAAGTGCCCTGTACAGCAAGGCTGGCCATCCAGACAGTCCAGAGCCCTTCTGTGCAGTGGTAGGTTAGCCCTGACTCCCACCCAGCCCAGAGGAGTTTGGGGATAGCAGGACAGGGCTAGTTGGGGCTGTGTGGACAGGACACACAAGTGGTTGTACAAGGTGTTAATGGAGCCACCCCCAGGCACATGCTCCAGCCCCCCAGATCCCCCTTGGGAATCGGCCCAGTGGGCTGATAGGAGAGCAGGTGCTGCCAGAGGAGACCTGGGTTTGGGCTGTGCAGCTGCAGGAGGGCTGGGAGCAGCAGGGATGACAGGCCTGGCCAGGCAGCACAAGCCGGAGCCCTGGGAGTCCACAGGCTGCTTGGGAGCCCAGCCCACCCCTTGCTGCCTCCACCCTGACCCGTGCGCTCTCTCCAGCAGCATCCCGTCCTGTCGCTGGGGAATGGTGCCAGAGGCGACCCAGACACTCCCTGGGCAGACCCAGCAAAGCCACCTGCTGCAGAGCCCTGTTCCAGGTCAGAGGTGCTTTAATCAGGGCTAATCTCCAGAGCCAGTGACGAACACAGACGGGCTTATCCAGCCCCTAATCCCCCCTCAAACCGGTGGCTAGTCAGCCAGCCTGGCTGGGTCTCATCTCAGCCACAAGGGCTCCCTGTTTCTGCCTCCCACTCAGCTCCACAGCCCCTTGTGCCCTCACGTGGCTGAAGGGGTGGCACTGTTCCTGCTCCCCAGGAGGCCCTGGCTCACCATCCGGCCCATGGCCTGGCGTTTAAAGGCTCCCCACACGCTTGCTCCAGCCAGTCCCAGTCTCTCTCCACCCAGCGGCTGTCCCTGCAGATGGAGCGCGAGGACTAGCTGCGCCAGAGGGGCTCTTGGAGGAATCGTGCTGGGCCGTTCGAGGGTTAAGGTGTATCTTGAACCCGGGGTCAGTCGGTGTTTTGATCATTCTTTGGCCTTGCAGGAGCTGCTGCAGTGTCCAGTGCATTGGCTGCTCCAAGCAGAGTCACCACCCAGGCAGATGGAAACGTGTCTGATGCAGGCCTGGCCCAGGTCAGAGCTTCCACCTGCTCCTCCAGCCCCCAGCGGGGCCCTGTTGGCAGCACAGTAAAGCCACCAACTCCCAGCCCCTGCCCCTAGAGGCCCTGCCCTGGCACAGAGCGAGTCCTGCTCAGAGACCCAACGTGGCTTGGGACAGGCATTGCCAGGAGCCTGCAGTCCGAGGCCTCCCTCCCGCACTCCAGCTCCGAGTATCACAGCAGGAGCTCACCCGGGGAGCCAGACCAGAGGGGCTGTCCCAGCTGGCCCTTCCCTTGAGCAAGGTACAGCAACCCCATGTTCCCCTCCCGGCACACTGACCTTTCTGGCTTTCTTCTCGCTCCGGCTCTGCTTGGCTTTGCTGATGGTTTCCTCCCCGGTGCTCAGCGAGTGCGTTAGCTGTGCCTGCAAAACACAAGCGCCTGTAACAGTGGCTCCCTCATGTCCCGGCATCTAGAGGGAAGAACGGAGCCATGCGCAGGGGCCAGGACAGCAGAGCATCCGGCCACAGCCAGACTGGAATGAGGGAGGCTGGAGCAGTGCCAGAATCCAGCCCCTTCAGCAGAGCGCCAGGCTCTTTCGGCCTGAACGTTCACCCCCCGGATGGAGTGTCCGGCGGGGGAAACAGGCACAAATTAAACCATTTGCCCCAAAGCCAGAGAGTCTGGGCTAGACCCAGACTGGGTGTGTGTGTTGCAGTCCCCATGGGATCAGAGTGCCATACAAACATACTGGACACTGTGCTAGCATCCCAAGTTCTCCCGTCTCAGGGCAGGTAGGAATGGCCTCAAATGTCATTTGCCTTCTTATGCCCCTCCCCAGAGACAGGCGTGATAGGCACCCCCCCACCCCCTGTTTGTCTCATGCATTCTGGGAAGGCTCTGGCAGAGATGTCGGTCTAAAGCCACCACAGGAAGAGCGACAGCAGCTTATCCCTGCCCTGCCCTCAGTGCTGTTAGCTGGGGAGATGGTGCAGGGTTTGCAGACGGGCGGCTCCAGGCACCAGCGCACTGAGCGCGTGCCTGGGGCGGTAAGCCACGGGGGGTGGCGTGCCGGTTGCCGTGAGGGCAGCAGTCAGGCAGCCTTCGGCAGCATGTCTGTGAGAGGTCCGCTGGTCCCGCAGCTTCGACGGCGGGTACGCCGAAGGCACAGGACTGGCAGATCACCTGCAGAAACGCCACCGAATCCGCATGACCAGCAGTCTGCCGAAGGCCGCCTGACTGCCATGCTTGGGGCGGCAAAAAACAGAGCCGCCCCTGTTTGCAGATCACTAAGGCACAAAGCACATGCCCGGTGCCTTAGGCTGGTTCTCAGACCCACCCTCCAGCTATGAATTGCACCAGGAGAGCTTCCCTCAGGTGCTTTCCTCCTGGCAGCCAGCACTGCCCCCAGACCGGTCTGGAGCCCCACCCTGAGGTGGGGGAGACAGTTCGGCTGTGTCACACGCAGAGGGGCAGATGCGGTTCCTGCTGCAGGAAGGCTGTTTGGGTTGCACGTAGCGCTAGGAGAGAAGCGGCAGGTGTGGCTGTTGGCTCGGCTGCAGCCCTGTTCTCTAGCTCAGAGTGAGCCTGCGTCTCCCTCAGGCCACCACCACCCTGCTGGGCTCCAGCTAAGCCTGCCCCACTCGCAGATACCGCCTCATGCCACTCTTTCTGCCTGCGCCTCGGGCCCCACGCCCTGGAGAGCAGGATCTCCCCAGCCCAGCTGATCCGAGCCAGGACCCCCAATCGATTCACATGGGGGGAAGCTGCCCACTGGACGTACTCCTCTCCTGGAGCAGAGCGGCATTGGAGGGAGAGGGGAGGAAGCCAGATGTGGCTCATTGTCCTTCTGCATTGCCACGAGCGTGGGCGGGGGGGGGGGGG